GTCTGTTGCTGTTTTGTTCCTTCAGGTTTTCTTTGTTCTTATACTCCACAGATGAGTGAAATCATTTGATACTTGTTGTTCCCCGCCTGGCTTATTTCACTGAGCATAATACCCTCTAGCTCCATCCATGTTGTTGCAAATGGTAGGATTTGTTTTCTTATGGCTGAATAATATTCCATTGTGTATATGTAGCACATCTTATTTATCCATTCATCTACTGATGGACACGTAGGTTGCTTCCAATTCTTGGCTATTGTAAATAGTGCTGCAATAAACATAGGAGTGCATAAGTCCCTTTCAAAGTGGGCTGCTGAATTCTTAGGGTGAATTCCTAGAAGTGGAATTCCTGGGTCAAATGGTAATTCTACTTTTAGTTTTTTGAGGAATCTCTGTGCTGCTTTCCACAATGGTTGAACTAATTTACATTCCCACAAGAAGTGTAGGAAGGTTCCCCTTTCTTCAAACGTCACCAACATTTGTTTGTCTTTTGGATGGTGGTCATCCTGACTGGTGTGAGGTGATATCACATTGTGGTTTTAATTTGCATTTCTCTGATGATTAGAGATGTGGAGCATCTTTTCATGTCCCTATTGGCAATCTGAATTTCTTCTTTGGAGAAGTGTCTGTTCAGATCCTGTGCCCATTTTTTAATTGGATTATTTGCTTTTTGTTTGTTGAGGTGTGTGAGCTCTTTATATATTTTGGATGTCAACCTTTTATTGGATATGTCATTTATGAATATATTCTCCCATAGTATAGGATGCCTTTTTGTTCTATTGATGGTGTCCTTTGCTGTACAGAAGCTTTTCAGCTTGATATAGTTCAACTTGTTTAATTTTTCTTTTTTTTCCCTTACCCAGGGAGATATGTTCAGGAAGAAGTTGCTGTTTATGTCCAAGAGATTTTTGCCTATGTTTTTTTCTAAGAATTTTATGGTTTCATGACTTACATTCAGGTCTTTGATCCATTTTGAATTTACTTTTGTATGGGGTTAGACAATGATCCAGTTTCATTCTCTTACATGTAGGTGTCCAGTTTTGCCAACACCATCTGTTGAAGAGGCTGTCATTTCCCCATTGTATATCTATGGCTCCTTTATCATATATTAATTGACCATATATGTTTGGGTTAATATTTGGAGTCTCTATTCTGTTCACTGGTCTGTGGGTCTGTTCTTGTGCCAGTACCAAATTGTCTTGATTACTGTGGCTTTGTAGTAGAGCTTGAAGTTGGGAAGTGAGATGCCCCCTGCTTTATTCTTCCTTCTCAGGATTGCTTTGGCTATTCAGGGTCTTTGTGGTTCGTTGAAGAATGCTGTTGGTATTTTGATAGAGATTGCATTGCATTTGTAGATTGCTTTAGGCAGGATGGCCATTTTGAAAATATTAATTATTCCTAGTGAAGAGCATGGGATGAATTTCCATTTCTTTGTGTCCTCTTCAATTTCTCTTAAGAGTGTTTTGTAGTTTTCAGGGTATAGGTCTTTCACTTCCTTGGTTAGGTTTATTCCAATGTATTTTATTCTTTTGGATGCAATTGTGAATGGAATTGTTTTCCTGATTTCTCTTTCTGCTAGTTCATCATTAGTGTATAGGAAAGTAACAGATTTCTGTGTATTAATATTGTATCCTTCAACTTTGCTGAATTCAGATATTAATTCTCATCATTTTGGAGTGAAGTCTTTAGGGTTTTTATGTACAATATCATGTAATCTGCAAATAGTGACAGTTTGACTTCTTACCAATCTGGATGCCTTGTATTTCTTTGTGTTGTCTGATTGTTGATTGCTGATTGGATGTGTGGTTACCAAAAGTTCAAGGGTGGTTTATTTACTATCTAACCATCTGATTTAACTCACTTATTACGCTATTATAAACACAGTCTGATAATTCTTTATTTATCTCCCTTCTTATTCTTCCTTCTTCACTCTTTATATGTTAGGTGTTTTATTCTTTACTGTTTTTTGTTTCCCTTGACTGCTTTTGTTGATAGCTGATTTTATTTTTTTGCCTTTAGTTAGTATTTGGTATTTGATCTTCTTTCTTTGTTGTGATTTTATTTTCTGTGGTGACATCTATTTAGCCTTAGGAGTACTTCCCTCTAGAGCAGTCCCTTTAAAATAGCCTGTAGAGGTGGTTTGTGGGAGGCAAATTCCCTCAACTTTTGCCTGTCTGGAAATTGTTGAATCCCTCCTTCAAATTTAATTGATAGTCTTGCTGCACACAGTATTCTTGGTTCAAGACCCTTCTGTTTCATTGCATTAAATGTATCAGTCCATTCTTTTCTGGCCTGTAACATTTCTGCTGAGAAGTCTGATGATAGCCTAGTGGGTTTTTCTTTGTAGGTGATCTTTTCTCTCTCTCTGGCTGCCTTTATTACTCTGTCCTTGTCTTTGATGTTTGCCATTTTAATTATTCTATGTCTTGGTGCTTTCCTCCTTGGGTCTCTTGTGTTGGGAGCTCTGTGTGCTTCCATCGTCTAAGAGACTATTTCTTTCCTCAGCTTGGGGAAGTTCTCAGCAATTATTTCTTCAAAGATACTTTCTATCTCTTTTCCTCTCTCTTCTTCTTCTGGTACCCCTATTATATCAATATTGTTCTGTTTAGATTGGTCACACAGTTCTCTTAATATTCTTTCATTCCTAGAGATCCTTTTATCTCTTCTCTGCTCTAGCTTCTCTATTCCTGTTCTCTGATTTCTATTCTATTAACAGCCTCTTGCACCTCATCCAATCTGCTCTTATGTAGTTCCATTGATTGTTTCATTTCTGTTATCTCCCTCCGGACTTCATCCCTTAGGTCTTGCATATTTCTCTGGAGCTCCATCAGCATAGTTATGAATTTTATTTTAAATACATTTTCAAGAAGATTGGTTATATCTATCTTGCCAAGCACTCTCTCTGGCATTGTTTGAGTGATTTTAGACTGGAACGGGCTGTTCTGCCTTTTCATGGTGATAGAAGTGATCTCTGGCAAGTGGCACATGTATCAGCTGGGAGAAGAAAGGCCCTTCCTGCTTGTTGGTCACCTTGCCCTTCTCTGCTGCCTGTGCCAGTTACCCACACACAGAGTGCAGTCTCTAGGTTAGTTCACTGAGTTGCCACAGGCGGCTTGGGATGGTCTAGGGCACTGCCGTGTGTTGCAGGTGCACGGTGTGTGTTCTCCTGTGAGAGCAGCACCCCTTCATGCCTTCCGGACTTTGCACCAGCTTTCTCTGTCTGTGCCAGGCAGCTGCATGCTGGCAGCAGCATCTGGGTCTGGCCCAGTTAGCTGCACACTGGGAGAAGACTCTGTGTGGTTGCTGTGGGCAGGGCTGCTCCCCAGCTGGTCTGCAGCAATGGTAGGTCAGCCAGTTTTCTTGCAGTGCTGGAAGGGTGGAATGAATGCAGGATGATAATCACCATGAGGGACCTTGGATCTGCATTGCCACCCAGGGGGTTAGGGTGTCTGAAGTTCCTTAAGATTCCCAGCTTGCTAGGCTGGGATGATTTTGTCCACCTGTTAAACCCTTGTCCCTTTAAGACTTTGAAAGCACCCACTTTTCTTTTGTCCCAAGGGAGCCAGCTATGGGGACCTGCTTGCAGTCTTCTTCTTGGATTTTACTTTTCTTTTTCTCTAATATCCAGTACACATGCAATGTGTTTCTGTGCTCCTGGTGCAGATTACTAGGGCTGGTTATTTAGCAGTCCTGTGTTTCCACTCCCTTCCCACTCTGATTCTTTTCCTTCCGCTGGTGGGAGGAGTGCTCAGGTCCTGCCAGGTCACGGTTCTTTATCTTACCATTTTCTTGAGATGCTGAGTTCTTGCAGATGTAGATGTAGCCTGGCTATTGTACTGTATCTTCTGGTCTCTCTTTAGAAATAGTTGTATTTGCTGTATTTTCAAAATACACATGGTTTTGGGAGGAGATTTCTGCCGCCCTACTTATGCTGCCTTCTTGATCACCTCCCCAAACCTGTATCCAGTATGACATGATTTTAAGCATTCCACCATGTGGCCCACTAGGACAGTGATTTTTAGTGGGGTAATGATATTTTTGGAAAAAGGAAAAGGATGATAGTAATAATAGTAATGATGTTTATAATTGTATTAGCTTATATCCATTAGTTCTGTGTCCTTTATATGTATTTATCTCATTTCTTTATCCTGTCAGCCCTATGGAATAGGAAGAATTATCATTCTGATGTTACCAGTAAAAGGTGAAGGCTTACAGAATTTAATTTACTTACCCAAGTTCACACAAGTAGTAAAATGTGGTGGTGATTGCAGTTATATGACTATTCTTACAATGATTGTTATAGTCAATTAATCAAAGTTGCTTTTAAGAGTTAACCTTTTTTCAAATAACTTTCTTATGAGGTAAATTTAAAATTCTTTCCTATCTATGTGACAGAGCTTTCTGGAAAGCTGTTGCTCAGATGTCTTACATAAAGTACTATTTTCCTCATTATAGCATAGAAAAACTTTGAAATTGCATCTCATAAGGAGGATAATCTGCAGTTATTTAGAGAATGATCCCACAGTATGTCGTTTTATCACTTTTGTGGAAAGATGGAATAGGAAAACACCCCAACTTCCATGAATATTTTAAAACCCATAGTCACTGGGGGAGGGAAGAAAGTAAGTTTAAGTAATTGAAAATTTCATTTCAGTCAGGTGTATTCCAAGTAAATTTTCTGTACCAACATGGCTTACATCTTATCTTTTGAAATAATGCTTTTCCTTGCCTGGAATGTTAGTCTTGTTCTCATGTGAGTAAAAAGATAGAGGCAAAGAAGACAGGGCAGAGTACCTGCCACAGTCACCCATAGTCTCAGCTGCAGGAGAGAGGGGACCTTTGGGAAATTTATTTGGTATTTAAAGCAAGTGGTTCCCAAGGCAGCTGGTGAATGGAGCTGAATATTTTGTTAAATGATTTTCCTCTCTGACCTTTATTACTAATGTATTTAAAGAGTAAAAAGGGAGGTTGTTTTTATTAACCTCGTTTCTCTTTTCCTACAGAACCCAAAGAAATGATGTTACCTGGACAGAGATCTGCTCTCTCTTATGAAAAATCAGTCCAAGGTAATGCTTATTTTCAATTGGTATTTTTTTAGTCTGTTTAATGCATTAAATTCTATGATTACTGGTTTTAGCTATTGAATAACCCATCAAAAAAGTAAATCATCTGAAAAGTAGAGAGAATGCCTTTTGATAATCTCCATATTCATCAAGTGAACAGTAACTTTTAAAGTACATAGTAGCTTATCAAAACATTGTGGATAATGGTTAATTTTCTGACACGACTCTCGCATTTATGTTAAAATATGAAAAGGATCTTGACTAGAATATTGTATTCTCTTTGTTTGGCAAAACTCCAGTTAGTGTATCATGTTTACAAGTAATAGACAATAAGAGAATTAGATACTTGTCAGAGCACAGTGATGAAATTTTTCTTTTTTCTTTAAGCATTAGAGATGTTACAAATAAAAGATGTTACACAACATACTAGATTGCTTTACATATTATTTTTTGAATATGCAAAAAACTCAGTACAAATTCCTATAAACTTCAAGTTTTATGAAGATACTTTCACATAAAACACAGATTTTCTTTGGAAAGTCTTGAATTATATCATACAGTTGTTGAATACATAGCATGCTTGATTATGCTCAAAAGATTATATATTTAGTTGTTAAAATTTCAAATTGCTATGTGATTTATTTACATATGTTGGTCTAAGAATATGAACAGACATGCAAATATTCTATGACATATATATGCAAACAAAGCATGAGTATAGATGCAGATATACAATGTGTGTATGTTTTATGAATAAAGATGCTATCTCAAGAGTTTTATAGAAAAGTTTCTGAAAGCTTAGAATTGTGGTGGAAACTGGGCTCATCTATCAATACTATCTACTTACATATCTATGATGATATGATGTCACTGTATGTATATGAACAAACGTAATAGATTTATTATGATTTATATCAGGTTGCATATAAATTGGAACTAACTGGTTTTTATCTTTGACACATCGTTGAATTCCTTAAAACAAGTGAGTGCTGAAAAAAAAAGGTAGCATTTAAATTTAATGAATATCACCAGAAAACTCATTTCTGAATTTCAATTTGCAGTTGAATAAAAATTGTTAGGTTTGATTACAAATTAGGGTGTTTCTACTTATTTCTGGATTTCAGTTAATTCTTTGAAGGAGATATAAATCCTTAAGGAAGTAGCCTCTCTCCCCTAAAGGGGATTTTGAATTGTAGGCACACTATTCAAGTTTTATCTATACTAAAATGTTATTTCAAACTATAAAATATTTTTATTAGTATAAAATATTTAAAATGTTTTAAAATATATTTAAATAATTTAAAATAGATTTAAAATATTTTAAATCTATTAAGGGTTGCCTTTTTCATAGAACTATTAACCTATAGAACTCCTCAAAGAGAGACATTATAATGAGAAATAATACCTAGACAATATTTGGAAGAGGTTAAAGCTGAGCTCTGCAATATAGAACTAAGGAGATAAGTGGTAGAAAAGTACTTGATGAGGGGAAATCAACTAAAGATGACACAGTAGGGAGAAGGAAACATACTAAATGAGATGAAACCAGTAGGACCCATGACTATCAGAATAAAAACAAAGGATGAAGGAAGCATAGATTATCTAGTATACATTCATGTGAAATTTTTCTTTTTTTTGGAAGTATGGGTATGCTAATATATTCAGTTTTATTAGGCTTTTATTTTATTAGTGTAAGAGGCAGATAAACTTACTTTGAACCAAATGTAGGAAAGGAAGAGTTAGGACAGAAGGAGGAAAATTTCCAGTAACACAGTTAATGAATTTCTAGCACTGTGTATCCGGAGTAACAAAATTTGCTTATTCACAACATGAGAACGAAGCAACAGTTTTGTATATTGTCAGAGTCCAAGTGCTTTGGTCTAATAAACTCCCAAAGAGCTTATGCTCTGGCACGTGTGCCTTTGTGTGGAGGTAAGGAGCGAGTGTGAAGGAATAACTTGGGTGGGAAGAATGGTGTCCACATCATCATTTCTCTATGCTGGTCCTTTGAGTTCATTGAAATAAGGGCGTTTGCAATCTTATAAACATTCCTGTTAATAAGGCAAATAATGCAATGTATTGATGTTGACTCTATTATCTCAGGTGGAATATGTACATTCAAATTTGATGTTTATATAGTAAAGTTTAAGACATCCTAGTGATGATGCTATTTTTAGATGAATGGGACCATTCAGCTTTTCTCAGTTTGATGACTAACCTGTTTATTTTGTGTAGGAGTAACTCTGGAAATGGATCTCAGAGAGAAGTCTGTTGGATTAACATGCATTTTTATGTGTGCAAATACCTGAAAGTTCTACATTAGACTCTTTTAAAAGGGGCATTTGAATAACTGTCCATGTAGTGTTTTATTATGTGAAATTACTTATGTCTATTAGTCACAATATTCTTAATTTTGTCATCCAAGGAAAGAGGTAACTTTAATCAGGTCAAAATATCCTTCTATATACCTAGATTATATACAAGAATAGAGACTGTTATTCTGTTCCATTTTTACTTAGGTTTATATGTCCTGGAAATAGACTGAATTTCCATTAAGAAAATTTCATGTCTGTAATTTTTTTATTATGTAGGAATATTAAGTTTTATTCTCACGCATATTTAACTTTTTCTGTAGGAAATTGAAATGGAATATTGAGGATTCAGAAGCTTTTTGATGTATGCTAAGTTGAAATCAAGGCTTAGCATGAACACAATTTTAAGAATAGAAAATAAGGGCTAGTGTATAGTGTTACTTATGTTCAATAGCACTAAGAAATAAGTTATAAATATATATTTTAGAGATTTGTTTCATCGTGGTTTATTATTTATTACTGGCTGTAGAAATGTAGCTGCAGTATATGTTGAGAGTAACAGGATAAAAACGTCTGATCTTTTAGGAGCTTACTAAAAATTTTATTTTATATTACTTCTATGCTGAGTATAAGGTAACAATGGGAAGTTAATCATCAAAACTTTCAGGTTGATCAATAAGTTAATGACCAACTTATTTAAATGAGAGTTAAAAATACTTCTAAAGCACTAGATAAAAGGTGTCATGTAATTGTCACATTTTCTGAATTAGGTTCCATGTGTGGTATATGGAATGCTTTACAGAAATGTAACTATGACATCAGGCAAAGCATGTTCTTCAAGAGTGCTGCAAGTTAGAGAGTAAGTTGTTGAGCATTTTAATAGAGAACTGATTAAAAAGTAATTCTTAAAGTGGATTTACATGGAAAGTGCTATGATAATTTTAAAGAATTTGCCCTTTTTTGTTTTAATGATTTTTGTCATTTGCAGAAGTTTGTGGTATACTTCAGTTTTCTGAGTATTAGATTCTGTGGCAAACACCAACTTTTAAAAGCGTTATTAAAGACCTCCAAGACTGTAAATTATAGTGTTTTCAAGAATTGATTCCTACTAATATTCAAGTTCTTCTATCAGTTCCCACCGATGTTTCTTACCTTATTTCTCTCTTCACTCCATACCCTAAATATTCTTTTCTTTCATTATATTGAAAACTCCACTCTGAATGCTCAGTCTTCTTTCTCCCGCATTCCAAAGCCGACATAATCTTCAAACTCTTTAAGAAGCCTTCTGAGTGTCTCATCATACTACAATTATTTCTCTCCCTCAACCCATATTCACTTGGTAAAGTCGCCGAGATGCAGTAGCTGCCTCTCCGTAACTGATTTGCATATGTTGCCACATAGCTGTTCTAACATGTGTGTGTACATATGTACATATAAATAATTATTATATCCAAAGGTACAGAGACATGGGATTCTTTTTCCTTCAATATGATTGTAAAGAAGATTCTTCCATCATCCACTTTGACTCCTACTTGTGAGAGAAGTACACCAATTCTGAATGAATGAGCTCCATGCATCTATCTCTAGGATTTCCACTGAAGGAATATTTAAAGGCTCCTCTGTACTATGAGAGTTCTAATTTAGCTGATCTACTTGAGAGCCTACTCTCCCTTTATCACATCTTTTCAATGAGAATAAAATATAAATTTCAAATATACTAATTTGTAAAGCAAATAATTTTCAACTATTGAAACACAGTCTTCACCAAAGGGAGACTGCATAATTTTATCACTGATTGGTTTTGCACCGCTCTGCGTACTTTGTTGAAGAAAAATCCAACCTGAGCTACTCAGCAAAGGCTCCTGTTGCCTAAGAGAAAACCCCACCTCTGAGGACCCTATCTATTACATGTCTTACATCAGAATCACTAGAAAAAAGGGTTATATTGTTATTTGCCACCTCATTCATTTATTCATTCCTTCATCAATTCAGTGTTAACTTACTATAGTCACAAGTGCTCTGGTGGAGTAGAGGTACATGCAGAACTCGAGAGTCTCTTTCCTGTTCTACACACACACACACTCACACACACACACACACACACACACACACACACACATTTAGGGGCTACAAAAAATCCTTTTTCATGCTTTTAGAACCTATCTCTGTGCTCCTTATCATTCTTCATATCAAGTTCAATTTCTTCTATGTTCTTCTATACACCATCATTCATGTGGATACCAAAGGCCATTCAAACAGTCCTTGAAAACACTTTTTAAGTTTTCAGTAATTGTTGAATGTCATGCCTAGGAATTTTGTGCCAATTTTAATGTGCACATGTTTGTGGAGATGCAGTCTGAAGTAACATATTTCCAGCTCCACAGCATAGCCCTGCTAGACTAGGAGCCTAAAGTATCCAAATGTTAGACATGGAGGTTTGAGTAGATCCTTGGATGTTTGGGAAGTTGAGAAGAAATTAGGACTATTGGCATTGGGGCAGGTCCTTTGGAAATTGGGGCTCCCAGAGAATTGCCAGTTCCCAATGAGGACTAAGGACTTTGAGGGAATTACTTCCTTTAAGGCTTTAGCAGATGTGTTAGTTTTCATTAATTCAGTTTTGCAGGACTAGTATTACTTAGGAAAGGGAAGCAAATGAATGGGGTTGGAGTAGTGTGGTCAGAAGGAAATAAT